GGTCCTTGCATATTTTAATCGCAACTACGGCTTTGCGGTCCAACGCAGGGAAGAAGTAAAGTACCTTAAGTGTTTTCTTCGAGGCAGCAACATATTCACATTCTCCCGCCCCACACCTTTAAGTAATTCTCCAAGTTGTAAATATCCCACTCATTTGTTAGATCTCTTTCTTAGCATAAAGTTGAAACTTTCCAAATCTCTCTCCCAACATGCTCCCCCCCCACTTACTACCCTCATTTGCCTTCTTCACCATTTCAATCAATTCTATCAATTAGATGCGATAGATCAAGATATTCAGTACACGCGATACGCGTGACTCATTTCCATTTCAGAAAGGTTTTGCCAGAATCTGTTATCAGTTTCGCGGAAATAAAAGGCTTCTCGTCCGGTACGAAATACAATTCAGAGTCTGACAAGGCTTTTTCCCAATTTTCCTCTCCTTGAGATCTATCTGGAGACCCTGCTAAGCCTTGAAATGAGGCTTGAGAAGAAAATAATGATTCCTTCTTCCTCTTGCACTTCTAGATGTATCATGGCATTGACTATTGGTCGAACTTCTCGATCCAATCAATGATCATCTTCATCATTTAGCAACTGATTCCTGTCTCCTATTCACTTCTCTGGGTCTCTGTGGTCAAGCGCCACCAAGACCCAGTTAGTCAGTCATCGCAAATCACAGTCAGTCACAGTGACTGTGACATTCAGAGTCCGGAGAGCCTATCATCCTATGCGCATGACTGCGGGTGTTTGGTTTAAGTTCACCAACCGCTGGATTCAAATTCAACAATGGGCTCTTACAGCACTCAAGAGGCAGGACAGAACTTGATGATCATAGTTTAGAGACTTCATACGCCCTGAGAGGTTCAAAATCACCATTTAAACGAAGACCCTAAGTTGTATCTCTTGATTCTTGAATCAAGCGACGCCATCTCCTTGTCATATGGTTATAGCGATCATGCTCTTGGAGCAGATAAGCATCTGCTTGATAATAATCAACTAAGGACGGGGAATTTCAATCTCAGAGGCTGGTACATCCCATCTGCGCCGCTAATCTTGGCAGCAAAAAGGGAATGCACTTCTGGCTCAGATAGTGCAAGATAGGTGGTCCGTTTACTCGGACATCCATGATGAGGAATTGGGCGGCAGTTTCCCGGCTATTATTTTCTTCCATGTTGTTCAACACAGGGTGGTTGTATGGAACGATACGTCCATGGGGAGATGTGAAGTCAAATCATGAAAATGCTCTGCCTGTCGTCCATGTTACATCATTTTGTATTGGAATAAAGGACGATATTAGCTCCAGGCAGAGACCAACTGGATGAGCGCCTGTGGACCTAAGATAGTCACTCCGTTTGCTTTTGGGAACTGAATCAGTTCGCTTGCACACCGTTGTGACCGAATCATCTCTAGATATTTTCATGCTGCCTTGTGTAACTAACGGGATGCAATAGGGCTGAGAAGAAAATTCCAAACAGAACTGGTAGTAGGCACCCCTTGTCAGAGGGCAAAGCGTCAACCGCAAGTCGGGGGCGGTAGGCGGCTCAGCTTGAAGATCAGATCGACAAGCCAAGTCTCATTTGACGGACAGTTACAAAAGTTTAGTTAAACATTCATCAAGGTTTTGGGTCTGAGGGTGCGCGGACAGTTGACTGCAGTCATGAATCATAACGAACTGCCAGCTGAAAGGGAATGCCGGTTCTTCAGCGCAAGGATGGTTGGTTGATTGGGGCGATTGCATGGCACAGCCGCCCTCAGGTCAGAAATGAGGGAGAGAAACACTTTTCAATGGATAACTAATAATAAATCAATCCTCTCACAGAATTTACAGTCCATCAGGTGACAGGCCTTGCACGTTTGTTAGTTATATTTTTAGAATCCATTTTCTTTTCTTTTTTTGGTCGAAATTTCAAATTCTTTTGCCAGTTTAATCCAATATTCGTGAAAGAAAAGGGTTTTACTCTTTGATTGGGGGCCGGAATACCCCATTCGGGAAAGCAATGCGGTTACAGGCGTTGATTAATAACGAGAGTGTGGGTGGATGACATTTTTATGAAATTGCACATTTTGGATTTCCATGACGGGAATTCCAGAATAATCTTGGAATGTTGGTTGACAAGAGGTGTTGGTTGTGTTTGGTGAAGGCTGGAGAAGAATCACTGGCAGGTTTCGCCGGGGGACTAACTAGAGATGCGCGCTATTCGTGCATAAGTTAAGAATTTGCGGGGTCAATAAACCACTGGCGTTGTGATTGGCGTTGGTTGAGCGGTTAATTTTTGGCGCTAGCTATGGCAGAAGACGTTTGATTTTCCACGGATGCGGATTTCAGAACTTGAGAAAGTTGCTAAAACAGACATGCATCATCCGTACAGTTAGTTTTCTGCTTATATCGAGATTCCTTATTTCTATATCCGCGTGAAGATTATGCACACGACATGCGCCGGGCAAAACATTATTGCAACCTCGCACCGCAGTTTCCGTCGCACAGCCGTAGTTAACTTGTATGGCAGATAGCCATGATTTTTGTGGAGTTTTGCCCCTCTCTTATTACCCCTCCCTCCCCTCCCAAAAGTTGAGGAGGAGAAACTTTCGTGATGCGCAAGGCAGTCCAACTTATATAGCGTCTTGATGAAATTCCCGGTAGTTAAACAAATTTTCCATGTACAGTCTCTAGCGATGTCGACTTGTGTGTATCGTATCATTACCCGGCCCCAGCTTTAGCCATGGAAAACTAGAACTATATCTCTGTCATACTATTACAGCAAATGCCATGTGCGGCAGCAGGGATATGGAGGGTTTTCCATTTTTGCCGGCCACGCACCAGCCCCTACGCATGCGCTGCGCGATACATCATCCGCTCGGTTATTGGTACGTCTATCTTTGTCTTTGCCTTGTTGCGCCCCGGCGGCACTTCAAACTGCGTACCCGGTTTCTTCGGGCAGGAGAGATTCTGCTGCGTTTGTTTCGTTGGGAGTTATATAGCCGAGTTTCTCTCTCTCTCACAGTCCCCAGGAGCCGTAAAATGGATCCTGGCATCATGGCATGGAGGGAGACGGGTCAGGATACATGAAGTGTGGTGCAGCTGACATGACTCTCTCTGTTGGGCATTAACGTTGTCCGGCTTGGTTCACGTTCCCATGGACGGGCCTGAAGGTATCATACGTCTTCTCTGAGGCCTAATCAGATTTCGAGACCTGGGTGCACGCGGGAGCTTAAGTTAAATCTTTTAACCAACCTCAACAAGGAGATAAAACTAAGTTAATTAACTAACTAGTTAGTTAACTATTAATTGGCCACGCTGACTAATTTTTTGTTTATCATTAACTAACTAACTTGTTAACTATCAGTTAGTAAACTTACCAGTAGATGTTATCATTATTACCCCCCTTTCAGCTTTTTCTTTTGCTTCATGTGAAACGATGTAGGGAGAAGCAGTGAAGGCAAACAACATCCTTTTCGCCTTGGGCAATAATTATGCTTACTGGTGTCTCCGTAGAGTCCAATCCGGACGAGAGAATCTGGAGGAGTTCGTTGATAGGTTCCAGAGTTTTTCTTGACAGCGGACCCCAGCGGTCGCAGCCGCCACACGATCACACGGGCACTGTTCCACGCTCGGAGCAACGGCGGAAGCGGCTGATGGTTGGTGAGAGCGTCTGTTTCTCAAATTTCCAGTGGTAGGATAGTATGGATTGAATGGATTATCCCAGTTTTTAGAGTTATTCTTGTTCAGCTCTCTGTGTGCCGATAATGACATGACCAGAGACTGTGCACTGAGAGTCCTCCGTAATGAGATAGCTACAACGCACGTCATTAGTGCTGAGAGAAAAGAGAGGCAGGGAATTTAGTCCCTTTTTGGCGCGCGGAGTAACATGGGCAAATATGATCATGGATGATGTTATTGTTCCTGGCATTTTTTAATAGGGTCGTGGAGAGAATAGATGGATGGTGAGATAGTTGACTAGGTACGGATAACTAGATACCGGGATCCATCGCAAGGGTCAAGGGAAAAATGTTGGCGATCCTTTTTCCTGTTCTTCACCCAATTGACGCTCCCTCCTTTGGAACACTCCCAGGCAGCCGTATATTTTAAACACAGAGAAAGATGAACAATGACTCTTGTTCTTCAACTCAGGCCCTCTCCCAGAATGTGCCCTCTACTATGGTTTTCCCTGCTTACCATTGGACTGACTAGGAAGAGAGCTGGCGTATGAAACCATCGCCGCCCTTCGCCGTTTCCAAAGCCACTACCATATGGGCGGTGTTAGGGCGCTGCTTTGAAATTAGTTTTCTCTTCTCTTCAATAGATAATCACTAAGTTAGTTCAGTTAGTTAGCTAGTTAACTGATTATCGATGGTGATGGAATTGTTAAGAATTAGTCAACGGGCAAAATGCGGGTTTTGAGTCATTATTTGGTTTTGGTTCTTGAGGTTTCATTCGATCATCCATCAGGAGGAGGGATTGTCAAGCTAGTAATTACCAAGGCAGGACAGGACATATATGGACATTCTCGAGGACTTTCCATGCAAGTATCCAGTATCCAGTATCCAAGCATAGATGCCGCAGAGCGAAGGGAAGCTGTGAGTAAATAACCTGATCAGTCATGACATTCCATGGGATGGATCCAGGCACATGATTTTCATCTTCTTTTTTCCTTCGAATCGCTGTCAGAATAATCCCGCCTCGATGATTCCCCATGCCTTTCGGAGGTATATTTTGTTAAAGACTTCTTTTTGGATACTTGGAATTTTCCCCATCAATCTCCGAATTGACTTGTGTGGGTGGTGGAGGGGCAGACGACTAACTCATAAGAATAGCCCTGACAATGTTCTGTCCAGTACGGAGTCTTTTTTTAAGTTAGGATAGCAGTTGGAACTGTACCTAGCGAGTTGAGTAATACGGATACGAAACCGTCTCTCACAGCGGCTGGGGGGGGCACTTTGGTATTCCCTGCCTCATAATACGGTCTCTGTATGGGCTGTATGGGTTGATGTGATGTTGCGTATCATCGAGCAGCTGGATGGGGTGGGCTGTGGCTCCCCTGCCCCCAGGGATCAGAAGGGTTGACAAAGGGCCAGCGAGTAACATAGCAGCCGTCGGGTGGGAAGTCAAGGCCCACGCACTCGGCCTGTCTTAACCCCACGCAGCTGGGAGGAACCGCCCTCAGGCCGCCACCCAGAAACCCACCAGTTAATTGGCGTAACATTACGTCCTTCGCTTGTGGAATTGGGGTACTTGAACATTCCGTACATTTCGTTCATACCGTACATAACCGTACACACCAACATTTTCCTGCCTTTTCGACCTGTTCGGGAGCCCCTCGAGCAAAAAAATAAAAAAAAACCACGTCCCTCACCCATCCTATTAAATACACTACCCTGCCCTTTTTTTTTTATATTTTTATTATTTTTATTTTTATTTTTATTTTTATTTTTTTTTTTTGGTCTCAACCTCTTCTGTTCTCTTCTTTTTCTCCTTTTTCTTTCTTCTTCGCTTCAACTGCACACGAAACAGTCTCCATCATCTCGACCAGCTCGACCAGCTCGACCATTTCTACTATTTCTATACCCCATCGCTTGCTCTCAGAGAACAGTCTTGACTGACAGTCGTCGTTGCGCACTGTTGTCCTGATCTCTCCGGCCTGTCCAAATCCCAAAAAGTCCCTGCGGCCGTCGTTCGCCTCTTTAACTTCACTTGGGTCGGCCCATTGTTTTTGGACCCGCTCTCTCCCTCTCTCTCCAGCAGATCCATCCTCGATCCGTCTCTCTGTTCTCTCGACCGGGAGTCGTTGCCAGAGCTCAAATGCACGCCGGGCAAGATCAGTCAAATCTCCTTTTGTTGCCTCCTCTATATTCATCGCCGAGGTGACGGGCTATCATACATCTCCCCTTAACTCTTTGCCGTCTTTTCCTTCCGGTTTGCAAGCGATATCCTGTACAAATACACTTGTCGGTTTTTGTTTTTCTTGTTTTCGCTTCCTGCTTGTTGTTTGCTGTTTGTTGGTTGTTGGTTTTTACTTGACCATTTATATAAGAAAAGGGAGATAATTTTTTATCAGCATTTATTTAAACAATATATCCGGCGTGGTTGGTTTTATTTTATTTATTTTGGTTTTTTTTATGTTTGCGGTGTCTCTATGCCCTCTCATCGACAATGTATCAATATCCAGCTCCACCAGCTGGATGTTCTTTTTACGATTACGCTACCGCTATCCCTGCCCATTACGCCTACTATCCCCCCAATTTCGGATCACCACATGTCTCTCGTCCGAAACGACAGGCTCATTGGGCCAGCTACTCCGCTGCAAAGGACTCCTCGGGTGGCTGGCATTCCATGCCACCAGGTTACGCAAGCTACTATGATGCGGTGCACAGCTATTCCTCGCCTCCGCACAAGCACGAAAAAGTAAGTGCTTTTTACGGCGAAAGCCACTACAAGGCTGCCGGAGGGAGAGCGCCTCGCCGCCCTTCCATGCCATCAGCATCTGGAGATCCCTTCTATTCTTATCACCAGCCCGCCTCGCCTCTCCGATCGCAGAAACGACCCTTCTTCAACGATGTGGTTGACAATGCTTTCGATACGCTGCCGCGCTCTGCCCCCCATGTGCGTCCCAGGTACAGCCGTGCATCGGCTTGGACTGGTGGTCGTCGTTGTTTCGATGACGGCGCCGGGACGTCCGCCAGGCAGAGCGTCGGGCAATATCAATTTTATCGTAAGCAAAAGCCAACCACTGATCAGTCTTTCTACTACAACCAGGTTCCCGTCTATGATGAGACAGACTCTGCCATGCGCTCTCGAGCCCGTCGCGCCTCAACATCTACCCGCACCCCACAGAAACCTAAACCCACCTCCAGCGTGCCCAAACACCCCAAAGCTACCGAGGCTGACGCTATTCGAAATGGTATCCCGGATGGATATTCAATAAAAAACTGGGATCCCTCCGAAGAACCCGTTCTTCTTCTCGGTAGTGTTTTCGACGCCAATTCTCTCGGTAAATGGATATACGACTGGACCGTCTTTCATCATGGCGCCTCTGCACCCATGGCCGATGTCGCTGGCGATCTGTGGCTTCTCCTCATCAAGTTGGCTGGTAAAGTGAAACGGGCGCGGGAATGTGGGCCGCGCATTCGCAACGCTGAGGCACGCGAGATGGTTGAGGATTTTCTTGATGGAGGCGAGCGATTGTGGGATCGGTTCGAAAAGCTGCTTAAGGCGTGCGAGCATTTTATGTGGAAGGCTGCGAAGCGGGAAACCGGCAGATGTGGGCCGGTTATGATGGGCCGCAATGCCGGCTGTGAATTTGTCGATTCGATCTTTGGCCGTGATCGGGAGTTGGAGAATACGGAGAGATTGATGAATAGTATTCGTCTGTGGGATATGAGGTTCGATGCCAATTGTGATGAGATTTTGCGCAGAATGGCTGTCGGCTAGGAACTTTGGTCTTTTTGCCCTTCTTTTCTTTTCTCTTTTTTATTATGGTTGGATATATTTTGTGTTTTTGACCGTTATAGAATTTTGGAAGTGGATAAATTATGGTTGGGAGTAGGACGATTTGAACGGTGTCGGGTGAAAAGGTGATATATTGCTCACTGTGACGGGTGTGCACCCCCAATGCTATATCGAAGGTATTGGGTGATGCTTCCGTGTCCCAAACCAATCTTCACAACCGACCGGAGACCCAAAGATTGGGAAAACAGCACCCTCCACATTCAGCTTTCTTCAAGGGATCGACTACAACCCTTTGAAGGAGAGGTTGCCTTCGCCTACCTTCTTTCGCCTCGCACTTACTCCTCATTCTCATCCATCTTCTTACCCCGCCCACTGTGGTACCAAAGATTCTGTGATATGAACTTCCCTTCCTTCAATCTTATCTTATACATCCTCGCCTCGCTGGCAAAAAATTTCCCCATCTTGTTTCCTCTTTTACTTCTTTCATAACAAAAGAACCCCACAAACCTACCTGGTCCGTTCCCTCGAGGTCCTGCTCTTGTTTCTCGCTCCATTTGCCCTGGTGCCTGGGATCTATCTTCATTCATTGCATATTGTTGTTGTCATTGAAGTCGTTAGGTTATCCGTTTTCGACCACTGATTCCCGGTTTTTTTTTTAAGTGGGTATGGTGTCGTTGGTTGATTTTTCTTTGACTCCGTTTCGCTTTTACTTTGGTCTCCCGTTGGCATTGCCGTTGTTGGCGGTTATATTTTTTCCGGCAATCTCCTGGGTTTGGATCGGGCTGGATGTTTTATTGTTTGTTCCTGGGCTATGGTGGGTGGCTGTCTCATACATCGATACCTCTGCCCCGTGAACGCTCTCGAGTCATAGCAGCACTCGCGTTCTTGTTCATGTTTATCTGCTCTATGTGGATTGGGATTTTTGTCATTTTGTTTCTCCTTCTTTTCTTTTTTTCTTTAGGAATCCTTTTCATAATTTGGTTGTTGTTATCTTTCCTTTGATGATACCACTGCTGTTTGTTATTTGCCTTATTTGCCTTATTAATTCGTTTTTGTACCTATTTTTATACTATTACATTTTGTCTATTCTTTATTCTATACATGTGGAACCTTGCCTATCCATCTCCCTGCTTATATTTATCGTCTATATGTCCTTCATTGGTATATATACATACTCACCTCATAAATATTTAGCTTTGACCTCTTATTTGAACGCCATCCCTTCGCACCTTAGTCCCTACATGCCGTACATAAACAATATTAACCACATTGTGTACTTCCCCATCGTTTTGGCCCATAAATAAATAAAATACAGCAACCAAACGCCTCTATCATATAAATCAAGACCAATCCACCCCCTTCCTTAGACACGTCCGTCAAATTATACCCCGCAGACCCTCCCCTCCTCAATCCCACTGTCACATATGCATCACATATGCAATGCAGAATTGTTGCCGTGTGATCCCCTCATAGTCCCTTGCTCCATCCACTTAGACTCCCCTGTTTACCGCGGATGTAGCTTAAGGTTCGGTGGCGGACCGGACTACCGAGTTAATTTTTTTACCTTGAATCCCCGTCGCGCTACTGGTGACCAATCAACAAAAACTCAAACTGTTTAGCCGCCCAAGTTTCATCTACTTGGAAAGTTTAACTGCTAATACTGGAATAGTTGCGTGAAGTGGAATGTATAAATGCTTTTAGATATAATACTCTGCTGAGTTTGCTCTAGCTTGGTATGATATGCATTGAGCTGCTGTCTATTTCCTCTTCTCTTCTCTTCTTTTCATTTCTTTCCATTTTCTGTATACCCACCAACGTCCTCAGTCGATGTCCTTGAAGTTAACGCCCAACTTGGCGTCCTAAGACGTCTCGACGTCCGAAGTTGCGTGGTTCGCTTCTATGTTTTGTGGGCTCGAAGGCTATTGTTCACATCAAGATAGGCATATTCGTGAAAACAACTTTCCCGTTCCAAATACCTCCATAACCTGTAACTCTTAGTGGCCGGTCTTTCAACCCAATGCAGTAGGTTAATAATCGCCCCAATTCGCCGCAGAGATTACAAGTGTAATGGATTCTGCCCATCGAGGGGCACATATATCTCTTCTATGCTTATGAGTAAACGTATTGCTCGTCCACACATTTGGTATTGATAATGCGAACTGGGCATACTAATCTTCATGGAACAGAAGTAAACCTGTTGACAATAACTATTCCAGGAGGATACAGAGTCCAGAGAATACTGTCAACGATATTCGTAATGGCTGTCGTTACCGCGTCGGAGCGGCTAATTGACGACCTATAATGGTAAAGCTTCAAATGCAACAATGTATGTCACATCTACGCATTCAGGTGACGGGATCCGCCGCGGTGTGCGGCTGATTACTGTTCCTGTCCTCTTGTTTCCAGAAGAACCAAATGGCAGAGATGACAAGTTTTGATGCCGCGGCCACCCACAACGCGGTCGAGACTCGACCCGTGCTTGTAAACAGCCAGCCGCCAATAGTCGCACCTCCAATGACACCGATAATAGCAGTAACGCGCCTGTTACGCATCGTGTTTCTGCCTAATGGTCGAAAAATGCCGGGATCGACAACCAGGTCATAATATAGGCTTGTCAACACGGTTGTTGGAAGCTCGGGGAACTCGAGGAGACGACTTGCCGCCATTTGACCGGCACATTGGAAAGCGACTAGTGACAACGGTATGAGTTTTAGCAGAGTGTGCACACCCTTTTCCTTGTTAGAGTCTTCAATAACACCCAATTGGAGAATGGATGCGGCTGTAATGAGAATGAGGCATTGGGAACCGAAATTGCCGACCAAGGCACTCCTGCTTTGAGGTCGGAAATATCTAGTCTTTGAGTAGGCTGAACTCCCAGCGAGAAAAGACAGAATCGAAACAAGGGACTTGAGCCAATCGTACGTTGTTTGCTCGAGGGTATTGGATGTCCCCAGTCCGAGAAAAATGGTATTACCTGACATCGGTAGTATCAGCAAATGATGCTGTTTGCATAACATGCAGATCTATGCAGGCGGGTAGATATTCTCAAACACACCCGTTTGCATGCTAACAAAACATCCCCAGGCTCTGTAGGCAGTGCTGTCGCAGAGACCCGACAAAAAGTAACAGAAGAGGAATATTAGATCTGCATGTTTCGTTTTGACGTCTTCAGATAGGTGGCGTACGATCCACGGTATTTTGTCTGTAGGACTAGGTAGCTGTGGTGAATGTGCTTCTAGATCCCTATAATAATCACCATTTTCATTATGTACAGACAGCTCCGCTTCTGGGAGGGGATGGGATGCCATAAGGGCTTATATGATTAAATTCCACAGCCCTATTGTTCTGAGCATTTCAGGGGCCAGCCAGCGGTTAGTTCAAGATTCACCCTAAGGGGAAAATGGAACTGGTCAAGTATTTTTTCCGTTCTCTAACAGAGACCTTGGAAAGAGAAATTGGCTCCCGGTGTTAATTGAAAAGTTGGGTAATCGGAAGTGAGAGCATGATTGAGCACTCTTCATCTTCGCACTGCGATATTCAAGAGGTATCTGGGGCAAGGAAGGTGGGCTTAGTCATCAAGGGGATAGAATGCCAGAAATGTTGGGGGGCACAGAGCAGGCGCTCCACCGCACATGATTAGTGTGTATAGGTAGTTCCAGGTAGCCTTTCATCCCCTAAAAGAGATTGAACCATCGTGTCACCGGTTATAGCCTAGATAGCATGTCTTGATGAAAAACACTAGTTAGCCAGATTTCATTGTGTATTGATAGAAAAATTGAATGAGTTTGACATCGATTCTCAAAAAAACTCTTGTTATGCATTATTGATGAATTACCCTGAAATACTCTTTGCAGTGAAAGGTGATTATAGTTTTAAAGAAATCAATTTTTAATTAAATAAGTAGATTGTTTTTTACTTTATATTTTAAATAAAAGAGAAGTTTACATTTTATTTGAAGACTCAAGATTCGTTCTTCTAAGTATATAAAGAAGTATAATTATAATCTAATTAAGTTTAACTTAGAAAATAGAAAATATATTAAATACACATTAACTAATTAGTTATAATAAAGAAAGATTACAGAGTGTCAGTTCAAGCTAAAATATAAATAAACAAACTGTAGATAATGAATTAAATAAAGAGAATTTAATTTATATATTTTTCTCTATATTTACTAATATTAATAAAATAATAATTATTGTAATATGTTATTTTCTTTAATTTTATTTTTTTTAATTTTATAAAGATAATAATTATATTTTATAATTTATATATTTTAATAATATTTTTTTATTTTTTTATTTAATTTATAAAATAATATATTTATTATTTATAAAAATATTAAATAATAAAAAATTTATTTAATTAGTAAATTTTATAATTTAATTTTTATTTATTTAAATTTTTATATATATTATATAGATATAATTAATTATAGTATTTTATATTATTTTATAATAAAAAATAATAATTAAAATAAAAAATTAAAAGTATTAAAATAAAATTTTAAAATAAATAATTATTATAATTATAAAATTTTATTAAAATATCTTTTTAATATTATTATTTTTTTAATAATAGTTTTATTTTTTTTATTTTTATATAATATAATTATATAGTTAATTATTATAAAAAATTATAAAAATTATATTATTAATTATATTTAAAAAAATATATTTATTTTTTTAATTAAATAAAATAATATTTTTATATTTTATAAATTAAAAAGTTTAATAAAAATTTTATATAAATAATTAATTGATTTATTAATCAAAAAAATAGTAATTTATTTTTAATATATTAGAGTTATTAAAATATATATATATTTAACTAGTTAAATCTACTCATTATTTATTTTTTTATATAATTAACTCAATATAATATAACTATTAGTATTTTATTTTAAGGTTTTTTTATTATAAATATAATAATATTTAAATATTTTATTAATTTTTTTAAGCTTTTATATAAAGATAATTAAGATTAATAAAATTTTATAAATAATATATTTTAATTAAATTATAAAATAAATAACTATTTAATTATATATAATTATAATATAAAAATAATTTAACTACTTTTTTATTAAAAAGATAATTGAACTATTTTATAAATATATATTAATTATATATTTAAAAATAATTTAATTAATTTTTTTAAATTTAAATTTTTTAATTTATATAATTTAATTATTAAATATATATAAAATATTTAATTTGATAATTATAAAAGATTATATTTTTAATTTTTATTTATTTTAAAATTTTAATTTTTTCTCTTTAATTGATTTTCTATATTTTTATTTTTTTACTTTGAGTTTTTATATAGTATTTTGTCGAGGATTAAACTCTAAGAACTAGAGACTAGTTCTCCTATATAACAAGGACAAATTGTTTGAAAAAGGGAAGAAAAGAATGAGATGAGAACATGAGCTTAAGCAAGCTCATATAGCATGATCATGTGTGCATATGCAAACAATGACTAGGCTGAGTCAGTCAGTCAGAGTGAATCTAGAGGTTTAGTCTCTTATAATACTCTTCTTCTCTCTCTTGTTGCAGATCTTTATAACTATTTAAAGCTCTCTTTA